TAGGACAACAGCTTGAGGCTCTGTCTCAAAAAAAAAAATTTGTCTTTTGAGAAAATTTCACCCAAAATCTGAGTTTGCCACCAACAAATCATCACTAACAAAAATTCTACAGAATTTATTTTAGACAGAAGAGAAAATATTCCAAATGTAAGAAGAGAAAATACAAATAATAGTAAACATATGAATAAAGGTAATTAAATATAAAATGTATAAACCTATAATAATGTCTTGCAAAATTGTTTAAGTGAAATTAAAACATACAACAGGCTCAGCACCTATTGCTCAAGCAGCTAGTGAGCCAGCCACATACACCAGAGCTGGTGGGTTCGATTCCAGCCCAGGCCCACCAAACAACAATGACAAATAGAATCAAAAAAATAGCCGGGCGTTATGGTGGATGCCTGTAGTCCCAGCTACTTGGGAGACTGATGCAAGAGAATCACTTAAGCAAGAGTTTGAGGTTGCTATGAGCTGTGACACCATGGCACTCTACCAAGGGCAACATAGTGAGACTCTGTCTCAAAAAAAAAAAAAAAAAAAAGAGATTGACAGAATGGTTGAAAACAGCACTCTATAAGGTATATGCTGCTAACAAGAAACAATCTTATTATTAAAGATATTCACAGACTGAAGGTAAAGTGTTGGAAAAAAGATATTCCATGAAAATGGAAAACAAAAGTGAGTAGGAGTTGCTTTACTTATATCAGATAAAACAGACTCTAAGCCAAAATCAGTAGAAAAGGCAAAGGCGGTCATTGCACAATGGTAAAGGGGTCAATTCGACAAGATATAACAATCCTAAATATATAAGCATTCAGCATCAGAGCTACCTGATTATAAAATTAATATTAGTGGACTTAAAAAGAAAATGAAATCCCTAAAGAAAATACAAATGACACTCTTTGTAGAGTGTCAAAAGATCCAAAATTTGTATGAAACAACAAAAGACTCAAGTTTTCGAAATAATTCTAAGCAACAAGAACAAAGCTGGAGATATCACACTCCCTAAGTAGATTTCAAAATAAACTACAAAGCTCTTGTAATAAAAATAGCCTGGTATTGGTATAAAAAACAGATACATAGACCAAAAGAGCAGAATAGAAACCAGAAGTAAATCCACATATTTATAGCCAAATGATTTTCAACAAAGATACAAAAACACATGGTGAAAGTTCCCCTCTTCAATAAATGGTGCTAGAAAAAATTGGATATTCCTATGCAGAAGAACGAAACCAGACCCCTATCTCTCATATACAAAAAAATCAACTCTTGGCTCA